CAGAATAGAAAAATAGCTTTCATCAGGTGCTTCTGGGCAGCTGGGATATATGCACGCATCCCCGCCTGTGTCTAGGGCACGTGGCAATGGTGCTCCCTGTAAACTGAGCACAGTGATTCTAGCTGAGGAAGGCTTTCTCCAAGTAGTTTAATCTTTTTTTTTTTTTTTTTTAATGTTAGGATTGGGAGACCTTTTTTGATAGCTGTTTAGAATAGGGATTGGCAAATGGTAGTTCTTGAACTAGATTCAGCCTGTACTTTGCTTTTGAATGACCCCATTAGCTAAGAATTTTTTTCTTTGAATGATTAAAAAAAAATCCAAAGATTTTGTGAGACATGAAAATGAAATTCAAATTACACAAATGTGCACATCTGTTTATATGTCTATGGCTACATTGGTGGTACAATGGCAGAAGTGAATATTTATAAGAAAGACGCAGTGGCCCACAAGGCCTCAAATATTTACCAGCTCACCCTTTGCATTAAAAGTTTGTGTATGCCTCTAGTTTAGAATATCACTTCATTAGGAGAAAGATTTTTTTTTTAATGATAGCCACTGTTAAAGATAGCTAGGTACAGGAGACTATAGTTAAAGTTTTATTTCATTTGTTAAGCAAAGCTCTATTAAAGTGCCCATACACCAATTTCTGGCAATCTTTAAAACTGTGTAGAAGAAAATATATTTCAAAGTATCTATTCTGGGGATTTTTTAAAAGTGAATATTCCTTTTATGAGTAACAGCTAACCTGAATTTTAAAAAATATTCTTATTTTAGCTGATTTAAGTTCCTTTGTTTTAACAGTATTAAGGCAGGAGTGTAGATTGGACCCAGACCCAAACCAGGATACTGACAAATTGCTACAGAACGTGGCTGCTTTACCATTTAACACCAGCAAACCTACAGTCAGAAAAACAACACACATGCTTACGATCTCTCTTTAGTCTTCTATTACTTGGAGACTTAAGTTGTGTTCTTTGCTGATTGTAGTGCGGGCAAATGTGTGTTTATAGCACAAGGCTGGGAGAGAAGAGCTGTATTCAGAAATGCCTCCCCACCAGTTACTTGTGTATTTCCTCCTGGCACTCCACCCCTGCCCCCTGCCAAGCCTTTGTAATCTGTGCTGTGTTCTTAACAATTCCTTTTGTTCCTATATTCTGTATGGACATAGTGGTGAAAAGTAATATTTTTCAAGATCACATATCTGTGGGATAAATCAGCAAATGACTAGGATTTTTAATTGCATAAGCAATGTATTCTCAGTAGAGGTATAAGCACTTTGAAATCTGCCTACCAGCTGATCCATGCTGTTGGAGCACTGAATGACTCAAATCCACAATGCTTTCAGAGGAGAAAAAGGCTATTTTTTTAAATCTCTGCAGGAAACACATGACTTATACACCTCTTAGGCATATCTAAACCTCCAACTTGGGAGGAATTAGGGAATGTGTCATTTGGTGTATTGCTGATTGCAGAATATCTAAAAAACCACAGCTCAGATTTAACCTGGTGAATTGCAGAAAGTTATGTATCTTTAAAAGCAAGATGCATATTTAATGCCTTACACAGTGCACTGAGGCACTTACAAAATGCAGATGAGCCCAGATTTTCATTTTTAGGAATCAGATTTGTACCTGGCTCACTCTTTATGCATTAAACATTTTCACAGTAGAACTTGCCATGTACAGCCCAAAATGTACTTGCATAATTCAGCCTTTTCAGAAGGAGGTCTCCCTTCACGGACATTAGGGAAGGGCTGGGGTTAGGGTGAGGTGAGAGAGGGGCCCAGAGGGCAAATTTAAGGAGGTACCCATTTTCTCATGCAGCCTTATATTTGCAAGACCCTGAGGGTGAGTGCCTTTATTTTGCACACTAGGTGCTTTTCCTGCCTCACCCTAGTTTCAGTACTGATCAAGGTCCCTTCGGGGTACTTTAAAAATATACATTGCTGGGTCAGATCCCAATTCATGAAATCTCTGGAGGGGTGGGGTCCAGGAATCTGCATTCTAACCTTTTAGTACTTCAAGTGCACCTTGAAGTGTGGGGGCCCTCCGAGCATAGTTGGCCAGCCTAAGGACTGGCAGGACAAAAGCTGTTCTGCCAGCCTCCAGTTAGGACCCACCTGGGATGTCAGCCTCAAAATCTGCCTGAGGAACCAGCACACAGGAACAAGCAGGCCGGCCAGGCTGCACCCCTTGCCAGCCCTGGCCCTTGTGTAACTGCTACCAGCTGTCCTGCTGGAAGGCTTGGCTCTTAGAGCACTTGTAACCAGAGCTAAATGTGATTGATTATGTAATTTTGAGCTGCTCCAATTTTTTAAATTAAGAAGTGTTTTATAGTTCATTATTAGCTACACGTTTCATTATAAAAAATTAGAAAATTAGTCAAAAGAAGGAAATAAAAACTGACCATAACTCTGCTATCCAGAGATAACCTTTGTTAATATCTTCAGGTATCCTTTTAGCTTTTTTTTCCTATTGAATTGATTCATTCTACTAAAATTCCATCATATGGTGGTAGGAAGGATGGCTGACAAAGGAATGTTGAGGTGAGGAAGTCTGTCTTAGGAACTTGATTTCCATTTAAGCCCTATCTAGTTATCTTTGCCAGTTACATGTAGATCTTTCCCTCTTATCATTAATCTCAATATAAGAAATAAGAAACTTATATGACCAGATATACGTACAAATATGTATGGCCCACTATTGTAAAAACAGCAGACATACTGCCTCTTCACAGGCAAGTCACCGTTAGGCTATTCTTCCAGGTCCCAGCTTGTGACTCTGGAAGCTTTGAAATCTGATGGGCTTGTTCCTTCGGGGAGGGGACTTAATCATTTAACAGCTCTTACTGTGTGTCTTCCATAGGTAGACCCTGCGAGGAGTCAAGGGTCCAGTCAGTAGATGTGATTCCTGCCCCAGACAACATACAGTCTGTTGGAGGAGACAAACCGAGACACTGTATGAGTGTCAGGTGCCCCAAAGTGCTGCAGGACTAGGGAGGACAGACCCACCAACTTGGCTTTGGAGAGTTGAGGGTGGCTTGGGAAAGGAGATGACATTTGAATTAAATCCAGTAAGACCTGCCTTATGGCGCCTGCAGTCTCCCACCAATAGCATTCTCCTAAAGTTCCGCTGTTTTTTTATGTTATGTCCTACTTTTCAGCCGATCACACAGTTGCCCGTGATAATTAAATGAAACTTGCCAGATGGATGCTTTCGCAAGACGGTGGCTTGTCTTCTTGCTCTATTTGTGAAAGCTGGCATCGGATCCAAACTCTCAAGGATGCTCCTACCTTGAGATTGCTTTGGAGTGTTGCTCTTTTGTGTATAGGAGCCAAATGGCATGCCCATCAGCAGGGCCAGGTTGAGTGACAGGTGGGTGTGACATGCATGTGGGCACTCTGATCCCCGCCAAGCTATTTTGCCTACAAGGAGGTGAGGTGCTGAGAGGTTGTTCTACAAAGATGTCATTATCACAGTTACCTTTCTTTGAGGAAATAAGCGTCCTAAGTGCCTGATCTGACCTTCTCACCACATATGTTTTTTCTAACAGGGGCAACATAATTGATGTCAAATTCCAGTGCACTGGTTTGAAACACATACACATTATCACATTGTCTTAAAGATGCAATTTTTAGATCATTGAGGAGAATATTTAGAGTGTGCAAACACATTTTAACTTCATTGGTCACAAACTTGATTAACCAAGGAGGGTGGGTACACTGAATAGAAAAGAATAACTGAATCATAATTACATCAGTAATTTAAAAATTACTGATATCTTTCATTTCTATGAATCATTTTGGTTCTTTGTGTGTTCCATCTCAATTAATTGTCACAGCGTGCTATGACATGGGTATCGTTGTTATTCCCATTTCACACAAGGAAACCCAATAGCAGGCAGAGAAGTGGTATGCATCAGAGCCGGGGTGCAGGTCTGTCTCCCCTCATGTGGCCCCCCATGGTTGTCTACACAGGCTTGTGCACTTGATGCTGTACTGAGGTTACAGGGTGAGTGCCTCACTATCCTGCTAGCAGATACTTACAGTTTAGGTTACTCATTCTCAAAGGGTTAGAATCCCTCAAGGGTATTACTGGTGGAACAACTCAACGTTAGTTCATCTTCCTTTCACTTAAGAAATAACTTCAAGAACTTGCCAGGCTTGAGGGCATTCTTGATTGAGTATCAGTTGATTATTGTAGTTACACCGAAATGTCAAATTAGAGCACTCCTGCTGATACAAATTTATTTTTTCCCTGATAGTACTCATGTTTAGCTAACATGTATGAATGAAACTCTTGAACTTCCTTGTTTAATTTTCTTCCATATCTTGTATTTGAAATAAAAATGTGGAGCTAAAAGCCTATGTTATATTTTACTCCTATGTTTTGGCTTCTCTGTAAATAGGGTGATTCAGCGCTTTTATCTGCACCATCTCTTCCACACTTCCCAAAAGAGGAAATTCCTGAGAAAGAGAGAAGGTGGGGGGGCTTCCTTTTCCTGTGATTCCTCTTAATTTCATCTATTCCAGACCCCACAGTAACTTGACATTCCTATGGTAGGTTCACTCATTTGAAATCCTGATGGCAAAAGGTCTTTAAACAGGATTTCCACCTTTAAAATACTTTGTAATTCTAAAGTCTTGATTAGAAGCTGTCTTTCAGACTCCCTCTCACTGGAAACAGAAACCCTGCCAGGTGGTCCTGTGACCTCTGCTTTAGCCATCCCTGGAGCAGGGGGTCCTGGGGGACCCTGCATCTCAGGACAGACAGTCCACACTGGGCCTGCACCCCTGCCAGGGAAAGTCTTTTCTGATCTGACCCTCACATTGGCACCCCCCTGTACCTTCTACTCACTAGTTCAGATCCTCCCCTTTGAACAACATGTTCCTTCAGGGTCCTCTTGAGCCTCAAGAAAGTTCCAAGGATTCAGAAAGAGTGGAGTGAGTCTTGGTGAGGTTTTCCAGCAGTCTGACATATGGCTCTTCCCTTTTCCTGCAGCAAAACCAGAAATCCTGACTCACGACAAGTTTGTGAATGGCGTGTTCCAGTGTGTGGCCGCTGGATTCCCAGAGCCCACAATAGATTGGTATTTTTGTCCAGGAACTGAGCAGAGGTGAGATGATGATTTGGGTTCTATTTAACATGCATAAGGAAAGGACTAAATTCAGTTAAATTTGAAATGTTTTCAGGTTTTTTTTCCTTAAACTTTTATTTTGATTATTATTTTTTTCCATCCAGGAGGCTTTTTAGAGGACATAAATGCTCTCTTTTTCTTGGTAAACATTAATTTTGTTTGCTGAAAAATGATTTTCTCTGTTTTGGTAGTTGACTTCTCTGTTTTGGTGGTTATCTTCTGGATCTATCTTGCAATTTCTAGCCTACAGGTAGATAAAGCAATTTTCCAGGACAGAGTAATTAGATTTCCATTCTATACACAGGAGGTAATGTGTGTGGGAAATGTGGCTGTAGTTAACATGAAAAAATTACCTCCAGTGTTAATTGCCAAGTTACTAAACAGTAATGATCGTACAATTACAACACACATACGGCGTTTGTGAGCTATGTGTTTTTAAAAGGTTTTCTCCGTGATTAGGCACCCAGCCCCTGAGCAGAGCACATCTGGCATTGAGCTTCCCGCCCTCAGCATCCACTCTTAGCCTTAAATTGTCCTTTCACATTACCTAGGATGAAAACGGGGTCAACACTGCTCTTTTTATGTATCAACTTCTATTCTGTGCTCAGGCTTTAAAAGCCCAGTGTAACATCTCAACTGAATAGTCAGGATGCTGATAGAAATTTTATTTTTCATAGAATAGACCTTTTCATCATAAGCTGGAGCAGGTTACATAGGATTGTTGTTCTCAGTTTAGTTTTAATGGAATGTTTTATTTGGGGAATCGTAGGAAGGATTCAAGACTCCTGTAAAGTATGTCCCCAGTGGAAGCAACCCTGCTAGTTAGTCATTTATTGAACAAATATGGAGTGCCAGCAGTGTGCTGGACATCAGTCTTGTGAACAAAGCATGCCTGAGTCCCAGCTTTGTAAGTTTGTAGTTTATTTCCCCTTTGCCCATCTTTATTCATTAAACAGCTAGCATCTTACAGGTAGTAAAATGCTAAGGAGAAAAATAAGGCATGGAAAGGGAATAGAAAACCTGCTGGGCATATGGGGAGGCGGGGTAGTTTAAAATAGGGGCATGGGTCTGACTCTTGATGGTCTTGGCCACCTGCAGCACAACCCTCCACCGGAGCCCCAGGGTCTTCCCTTCTGGGGTTTTGGGGGCTACCCTGTCTTCATCCTTGTAGACTCCATGGCCCTCTCCTCTTTGCTCTTCCTTTTCAGCCCTTCATACTTGCTCACAATTATTTCCTAAAGGTCTGCTGTGTCCCAGGATGTGTGCCAGACTTCTTCATGCATTTCTAATCCTTCAATAATCCTCCCAATGGCTATTATTACCACCCCAATTTTAAGCTGTACGAACTGAGTCTTGGCATTTAAGTACCTTGTCAGAAATCAATCAAATAGCTGTTTGAGTCCACACCGCACCTCAGAATCTCACTGCCCTCTTGTCTCCCACAGAGCTTTGTTTGCTTACTGTGCCAGACATGCTCCTTCACCATCAGACACTCTGGGTTGTAAAAGGAGATGTCTGACCACGAAACGTGCCACAGGTGTGCATGATTGGTTTTCCTGGAGTAAGTCTGGGTTGTTCTTTTCTTTCCCTAGATGTTCTGTCCCCGTTGGGCCAGTGGATGTGCAGATACGAAACTCCTCTGTATCACCATTTGGAAAACTAGTGGTTCAAAGCTCCATCGATTATAGTGCCTTCAAGCACAATGGGACGGTCGAGTGTAGGGCTTACAATGATGTGGGCAAGAGCTCTGCCTTTTTTAACTTTGCATTTAAAGGTAACAGCAAAGGTATATTTCTTTTTAATCCAATTTAAGGGGATGTTTAGGCTCTGTCCTACCACATCAGTCATGATTTTAAGTCCATTCCATCACTGGCCATGTCATTTCTGGTAATTTCTACATTGCACCTTACTGTCTTCAAGTTCACTAAGTTTCATTCTGTACTAGCTGATTAACAAAATGTATGCAGAAATTTTAACCATGTAATATAAATTTTTCATGTGTGTGTGTACACGTGTGTGTGTGTTGTGTATAATGAACTGTGTATTTCTGTTGTTTTCATTCTAAATGGGTAGAGAATAATGGGGGAATATATTTATCTTATATGCAAATGGAAACAATTAGGGCCATTAAACAATTTAAGTTCAATTAAAATTTCAGTTATTTAAAACAATTACTTTAACACTGCCAGATACTATATCAGAAAGTTAACAGTGCTTTTTATGAAGTCATGTTAGTGAGCTGTTTTAATATCTTTAAATTTTTATTCATGGATGACTAGCTCTCCTAACATAAGTAAAATGATCCTTCTGGATGAACTGATGAATTGGTATGTAGATACAAGACAAAGAAACTGGGCACCTACGTTCTTAGGGCTCAGTTTCTTGTTTTCTTGAGTTGGCAAAGATGAGTGCCAAAAAGTGGTATATTTTCAAATTTTGAGTAATGAGGGGAAGAATTTTACATTGTTCTTTCTCATAGATTTTTTTTCAGACAGGATAATGAAAAGAACACTTTACAAATGTTTCCTCAGTTGTGAAAAAAATTTCTGCTCATTGTAGAAAATTTGGAAAATACAGGAATACATAAAGAAGAAAATATAAACCATCCACAAAGGAAACTCCTTAAAGACTGTCCAAGGCAGGAATTTGGTACATGTGCAAAGTTCTTTCAGGTGTTGTTTTTCATCGACAAAGAGCATAAAATTATTTTTATGCTATAGAAATTTCAGCTTCTCTTCCATAGTAGTCTGGTTTAAAGCTGTTGCTTTAAAAGATTCCTTTGAATAACAAGGGAAGATACTAATCAAGGAAAGGAGCTGAGATGCACATGGCTTTGAATCTTGCCATGGCTTAAAGTGGGAGATAGGTGATTTGGAGGTTAGACAGTTGTGGTGAAGATCCCACCCTGCTAATAGGTTGTGATTCCTGTTTCTCCTTCATTTTAGAACAAATCCATTCCCACACCCTGTTCACACCTTTGCTGATGGGTTTTGTGATCGCAGCCGGTTTAATGTGTGTCATTGTGATGATCCTCACCTACAAGTATTTACAGGTGACCATTTATTTGTTCTCTACCCTGAGCACTATAGTGACTGAAACATTAATCATTAAAAGATGATATATCTTTCCCTTTTTCCCCCTACCAGAAACCCATGTATGAAGTACAGTGGAAGGTTGTGGAGGAGATAAATGGAAACAATTATGTTTACATAGACCCAACACAACTTCCTTATGATCACAAATGGGAGTTTCCCAGAAACAGGCTGAGTTTTGGTCAGTATGAAACAGGGGCTTTCCATGTAATCCTTTTCTACATATAACAGTGATTTCAGGGAACCCCTATAGCTTCCTTTGTTTTATCTTCCTGAACACATTAAGTGTATTTTGTGAAATTTCATCACCCTTGATAGACTTGGCATAGAGCATATTATAAGGAAATGTATCTAGGCAAATTCCTCCTAAACTCCTTTGCTGTTCTTGAAATTATACAAATGGTCCTTCAGTTCCCTCCCCAACCACTACCACTTACTTTGATGTCTTCCTTTCTATAGGGAAAACCTTGGGGGCAGGCGCCTTTGGAAAAGTCGTGGAGGCCACTGCATATGGCTTGATTAAGTCAGACGCAGCCATGACCGTTGCTGTGAAGATGCTCAAACGTAAGTTTCTATTGAGTGCACTCAGCATTCGTTTGTCAAATTTGTTTTTTTACCAAATTTGTTTTTTGCTAAAATAAGATGTTTCTAATTTTAGCAAGCGCCCATTTAACGGAACGAGAAGCCCTAATGTCTGAACTGAAAGTCTTGAGTTACCTCGGCAATCATAAGAATATTGTCAATCTTCTTGGAGCGTGCACTGTTGGAGGTAAAGCCATGACCAAGTCACCTTTTAATATCTGTCAAAATATTTAAAATTTTAACATGATTTTGACAATGCTTGATTGTAAACTCCTTGCAAGAATTTTATTCAGGTTGTTACTACTTGCTAGATTCATCTCTCTGAAAATGTCCTTAAGAATGTATATTTTAGTTTTATCATCATGGGGTTGGACAGCACAGAACATACCTAGTTATATGCATGGACATTGACCTCTTGAATATCTCAGGAATGTCTCGTCTCATCCAGAAAGCTTCTGTTTTATCTTTTAAGCTTTATATTTTGCTGGCTCATTCTAGCCACTAAAGGTTAGCATTCATATGCATAATACTATAATTAAAAGTAGTCCTTTAAGCCCACCAGCTCTCAAATATACACCAAATGAAGCAAACGGTTCACTTTTGTAAAAACTACATTTCTAATTCTGAAGCATTAGTCAGGCCTCCCATCAAGGATTTCTGTGATATTTCCAGAAAGCATTTTGGTCTAAAGGAACAAAGATGTGTAATATAAAGTGGTCTTCAAGACCTGGAGACATGCAGTCAAGTTGATAGCTTTTTATAATTTCTTAAAACAACCCCCATCAGTGTTGCTTCACCACATCATGAATTGTTCATGAAAATTTCTGCCTAATTAGTTGCCTCTTAACTTCAGAGCTGCAGTTTTAGGCATTCACAACACTAAAAATCCATTGACGAGCATGTGCAGAACCAGGTGAACCCCATCATTTCAGGTTTTCACCCACTTTCCATTCTTGTCTCAGCTGGCTGTTCCGGTGGTTGGTTTTCCCATTATGCCACAGTTTGTGCTCTTCATCATTTCCATAATAATGTTACTGAGAGAGCATGAAACTCTGCTGTAAACAGAAGTAAATCAAAGGATTCATGTACAAAATTTGATAGATAATAGTATAATGTTGAAAGCAGTAGCTGCCGTTTATAAAACCAACAGTCATGCCTGGCTTCAAACACTAACATCTCTTAGAAATTCAGGTAAAATGGGGCTGGTTTGTTTAGTTTTACTGCTGCTCTTTGCAAAGCAATGTTAATAGATAAGATTGTATTGGTGCTAAGTAGGCTTATCACTGAACCCGTATGTTAATAGCCACTATCACCCTTGGGTAGTATTTTTATGGAAGGCAGGATTGTCTATATATCTCTTCTCTTTCTAACCTTTTCTTATATGCTTGTAGGGCCCACCCTGGTCATTACGGAATATTGTTGCTATGGTGATCTTTTGAATTTTTTGAGAAGAAAACGTGATTCCTTTATTTGCTCAAAGCAGGAGGATCACGCAGAAGCAGCACTTTATAAGAACCTTCTGCATTCAAAGGAGTCTTCCTGGTAAGACTGATTTACATAAACAGTCAGCTGTTGACAGGCAGCTATGTGGGTCATAAGTGTTTGCAATCAAGGCTGATTTAAAAAAAAATGAACTGAGATACTTTGAGGTGCAAAATCAGAATTATTAAGTCATTTATATGTGATCAACAGTTTAGAGAGTTCAAATAGGGGTTTTAAAGGTTCAGACTGTGTTGAACTTGGATGTTGGTTGATTTTTTTAAGTGCATCTTTGTTTTTTTTCTAGGCTTTTTTTCTAGTTCTATTCAGTTAAATGAATTCTATACCCATTTCTCTTAACATGATTCTGTTTTTGCATGTGTCATTCCATTTATACTGTTGAGTTAGGTACAATATGCATCTTTACAGTAAGGTACTCTTTATAGGGAAAAGGCTAAAAGCCTGTCAGGTTGTAACAGTAAATTCATTTAAAACCTTTAACAGGTTGGTGGAGAGCTCTGAACATATCTGCACGTAGGTTTCTCACCATGTACTCTGACTTATTTCTATATACCTTGCCCTTTTTAAGAAAAAGCTCATCATGCTGTGAAAAGGCACAACTACTCTAGCACAGTTTAAGAACTTCTTTATCTTATTTTCATCTCTTTCATCATTGATGCTATTTTGAATTTGAACAATGTATAAAGAGCTTGAAGTTCCTTTAAGGAGAATTAGTGTGGTTTAAACCAGAATAGAATTCTCTGCCATGCCTGTTCTTTGCAAATGTTAAGATCCATCACTTAAGGAAGAGTTCCTAGATCACCAGCCCAACAGAAATCATAGTCATCGTACTTTACATTTCTGCAGTTGGGTGCTGGGTTTCTCCTCTCATTTTTATTCACTCTATCCCCTACATTTTGAGATGGCAAGACTTTGTCTCCTAAATTTAACTCCAGGCCCACAAGGAGACCTCAGTAAATATTACTGATGGGCAGTTTACCTCTGAAAGTCATTTTTCTGTACCCCTGGCTCAGGTTTTAAACCCCAGGTGAAGCTTTTTTGCTTTTCAATCCTGTAAACTCGAGTAGTGCCAAGTGGTAGTAAAATAGAGTACAAGCCACCTTCTGTTCATTTCTCCAGAGTACATGCTCTTTGTATGAATAAATAGGCTACTTTGCCTTTTTTCTAAAACCTTGGCCCCACATATATTTTTTTTAACTTTCTGAAATAATAGCCTAAATTGTTCAAGCCTGTATGGTGTTCTTTGTGCTTTGGGATCCCATATGGGATTGGAACCACCAGCACACTCTGAAGAATGTTGTCATGGTGTTTCTATGCTAATCAGAAGCAGGAAGTACTAGAAATCTTGAAGACTTTCCAGCCAAATGTTGCAGATTCAAGAGGTCCAGATGGTTCAGAAAATCATCCAAATTATTGGTGTTTATCTGAACCAGACTTGGTTTTTTTAAACCTTCCATCAGTCGCTATATGTTAACAATCTCTGCCTTCCCCCCATAACACATCTCAGTAGTTCTTGTTTTTGTGACTTTCTTGTCTCTTTCATCTTTTCTCTAGGGGCTAATTAAGAGAGTTTGAAGTAATGTGGGATAATGTTTTTGGCTCTCTGTTTCCCATTAAATCCCTGGTGTCAAGAGATGGGAAATTTCTAACCCGACTTCCATGTATGATTGAGCACAAGAAAGGCCATCTAATTCCTGGGGATTGGACCCTAACGTTGAATATTAAAAACTCATCTTACTGAACATGACTTTCTTCGTTCAAACTTGGCAATACTTTCTTCAAATAAACCCAGCCTGTTACATGACAAAGGAAGTGGGGAGATAGCGCCCGCCTTGTTGGTTCTCCCACATTTCTCATTTTGTTCAATCCTGATTTGATGGGTGTTTCATCTCTCCCAGCAGTGACAGTACTAATGAGTACATGGACATGAAACCTGGTGTTTCTTATGTTGTACCAACCAAGGCAGACAAAAGGAGATCTGCGAGAATAGGTGGGTACCTACCAAACAATAAAAGCAGTTTCATCTGCAGAGAGTTTCTCATACCACTACAGGATGTAACACCATTTCCAGCACTGACTGGTTCTCCTTGACACCAGGGTCCCACGACAATGCCAGTCGTCAGTGGCAGTTAAGGATTGCAAGTGGGGATTAGGGGTCAGACCATGTTATTGTATCTGAGCATCTTGCTGCATATATGAAAATATATGCCTATCAAAGATGTATTTTGCATATCAAAATGTATCAAGTATATATTTTTCAAATCAGATGACATTTTTATATTAACTCACCACTTTTCTGCCCTAAAGATTTTGTTACCTAGCCTGGGATTGTGAATGGTAACTGTGTGATTCAACACCTACCTTTCCTCAACATTGGGAAGGTGATTTGCCTGCAAGTTCACACACCTTTAATAATGCTAAAGTCACTGTCTTTTATTTTCCTGGCCTTTATGGTTGTAGTTGCTAAGAAAACCCTCCTCCTCCTAACAGGCTCATACATAGAAAGGGATGTGACTCCTGCCATCCTGGAAGATGACGAGTTGGCCCTAGACCTGGAGGACTTGCTAAGCTTTTCTTATCAGGTGGCGAAGGGCATGGCATTCCTTGCTTCAAAGAACGTACGTATGGGAATGGTTCTCTGATGAGCCTGTCTTTTTCTTTCTCCCCCAGAATGGAGCATTTTAGAGCCATAGTTAGAATGCCGTGTCATTTTGAAGAATAATACCCAAAAGCAGTGGAAATTTAGTTCTTCATGTAGCAACTGCTGTCTCTGGAATTCCTGTTCTTATTTATAAGCTTTAAAGTGCATGCCTGTCTAAATGAGCTTTCTATGAATATTTTTTATATGCAATGAATTCATTTAAGACTCTGGGCTTTTAGGATTTAAGAGCTGCTCTTAGAAAAGAGAGAAAAATTATTTTATCAGCAAAAGGCGGGGATACCTCATGTAGTTGTTTGGTGAAGTATACACATGGGTTTTCTTAAAGTTAGACCCCAAGTACTGCAAGTGTGGCTTATGAAGTGTGGTGGAAGAAGGAATCAGAGCATAATAAATATTTGGGACCGAGATGGGGATGGGAGGAGAATGCTGGAATCAAAATAAGGAACAGTCTGGTAACCAGCCGATTAGAATGAGACTATCCATCCTACACATAGCTGTCATTGGTGACATTTCCAAACAGTTACCAAACTACAAAAGGATATGAGATGGCTGAAGTAAAGAGCCTCTTCCCTCTGCCCTTGGGAAATGTCAAATTGAAGTCACAATGACATTTTAGAAACTTTGTAAAGGATATTCAAAAGGAAGCATGCAAATGGAGTTTTCAGTTTAAAAAAAATCTTAAGATTATTTGTAATGTGTCTTCCTATGAATGAAACCGGTCCTAAGAAGAAAAAAAAGCATCTATCCAAGTTGATTTTGTAAGTGATGATAGCAATTAAGGTCCTAACAATGTGAGACACAGATTTGAAACATCATTAAAAACATAATTTAGAGATTTATTTTTGGTGTACCAAATAGTTTAAATGTAAAGCCAAAATATTGAATTTGTATAACATAAGCAGCATTCTAGCCTTAAACATATTTTTCAGTCTTTAAAAGTTTAAAATAAATTTAAAGGTTTTCTTTCCTCCCCTACTCTCCTAATAGTGTATTCACAGAGACTTGGCAGCCAGAAATATCCTCCTTACTCATGGTCGAGTCACAAAGATTTGTGACTTTGGTCTAGCCAGAGACATCAAGAATGATTCTAATTATGTGGTCAAAGGAAACGTGAGTACCCAACTCTCTGCTTGACAGTCCAGTGAAGGATTTTTGTTTCAAGTCTTTGTAAGAATTGTTTTTTACAATTTTCCTAATGCAGCTCCTACCTTTGAGTTTCCATGCATTTTAGCAGTCAAATTAAGTATACGTCAGCAAAATTTGCATGATATGCTGAACATTACTACAACTAACATTCAGATAATAGAATGCCTAATTCTAATTGTGTAATTATGGGGCATGTGAAGGAAACAGAAATAGCTTTAATTTTCATTAAAGCCTGAGAATAGCAATGAATTCGATTTTGTTCAAGTGAAACAAATGTGGACCTGAAGGTCACAGCAGGAGAATTTTATTTTGAGATTGGTGTGCTATGTGAAAAAACATGAAAATCTAAGCTAATATTCAGAATTAGGTATATAAAGTGGTGTTGGATCTCATATATCAACAGAGAGCTTATTACATAGGTTCATAAGTAATAATTGGCTTATAGAACACAGTGATTTTATATCAAAGTGCTTTATTTCATTGCCAGTTTTTATTGTATCATTAGAACAACACCAAGGCATTAGAATGCAGTGTCTTTGCATTTTGAGAAATGCAGAAACCAAAGCTCAATATATATTAATAATAAACATCACTAATTCTGAGATGACACTGGTTGGTAGAGGCTGAAACCAGAGTCCATGATTTCCAGAGCAGTACCCGATTAGTATGGGAAACCATACAGTCCTGGATATGTATTCTTCCATGTCTATTTTCTCAGGCCCATTTCTACAGCCCAGATTTATTCCTAGAGGTACCTGTTGGTGTGCCTTCTGATAATGTAATGCCTCTCCTTTATCACTGTGGCATCTCTGTGGGAAAGGTGTATTTGCTTTGTTTTATGGAAATGTTGCTTGGTTTACTTCCTGATCAAAGCTACCATTTCTGGTAAATCTCCTCCAAGGCTAGATTTTATCATTAGGAAGGTTAGTAAAACCTAGTTCTGTCCATCCTGGTGCACTTTTGGAAGGAAGAACAAAAAGCGGTTTCTTATCCAAACCTGAGTATGAACAAAAGGTCAAGAGGAAGAAGGTAGTGGGTCCTGGATCTATCCTTTAGTGTCTGTGTGATATTTGGCAAGAATTACTCAACACCTCTGAGTCTTGATTTTTCTCCTCTTGGGAATAATAATGTCACATAAAGTCATAAGGATTAAATGAGTTGGTGTGTTGAGTACTGAGAACAGTGCTCAGCACATTGTGGCTGGCACTATGTGGTACTTACCATTCTGACTCTTTGTAGGCGTCTTACTGGGAAGGTAGGTAGTCATGACAGTGGTCGTACTGCAGCTTCTTAATAGCTTGTTACTGGTTAGTGAGCTTAGCTCGAACTAAAAGCCTGGGTTAGCCTCACAGGGCTTCCAGATTGTGGACTCTGGCTCAAGCCCTTTGAACTAACCAATCACAGATCACTTTTCATTAGGTCACTGGGTACAGAGAATTCACAGGACAAGTTTAAAGCAAGGAAATTCACACAACATGTTACCACCCCCCAATTTACATGATAGTCACTTGAGATCTCCTTGCTGTGCCAGTTGCTCCAAAAGTTCTTCTGTTCTGCTTGAGTTCTTGGCCCTTTCAGAAGCCTGGCAGAATGCCGTTCCAAATGCATGTTAGAAAATACGTAGGATACCAAATTGAAACACCATAATCAAAATATTAACAAGCAAATATGTGGTTCATCAGTATATGTGCTTTTTTGTTACACAGGAAGACAAGTTCTAACTGTGGGCCCCAGAACTTTCAAAGTGGTGATGCATGTAAACATTGTAATAAGATGAAGGTCTCTGTGACTGCCCTGGGTGACAGAGTCACAGATACATGTGGGACTGCAGAGCTCTGATGCCTTCATTCATAATTAAGGAAATGGTAAACTTCAATTAGAACCTAGGAAAAACAAGAGTGTAATTTTGCCCCTCCCAAGTTGACAGGACTGAATTCAAGACACCTGTGGATCTCAGGTTAGGAACTCCTAGAAGAACTGTAACACAAGATCTGGGAATACTGGCAGGCTTTTTTTTCCTACTGACTAAAATAACTTTAAGACTAGAAAAAAACTGTCTTCCTGGTTTTCCAATCATAAGTAGATTAAAAGAAGGATTGATTTAGCTTTTTATGGTAGATTAAGATCCAGGAATCCAGAATGTCTCTAAGAGGATAGTCACAGAAAGTTTGGCTCCATTTTAGTGGAAAGAGTTTGGGATGTGAAGTTCAGCTGTTGAATTTAAGCGCTGCATCTGTCACTCATCTCCTTGGAATAGTCATACTCACCATCAGCCACTCCTGCTTACTGAGCACTTGCTTGTCCCAGGCAGTTTTTCAGCTAGAGTCCCGTGCTGAGCACTTCTACTTGTGTTATCTCATTTAACCCACAAAACAACTTAGGAAATTGGGAGTATTGTGTTTGCCTTCCAGAAGAGGCACCAGGGCTTAATTTCAGGTAGTTAAGTGACTTTCCCAGTGTATTAGTAAGTGACGGTTTTGGTTGTATATGGCAAAAAAAAAAAGTCCCAATAGAAAAATAAAAGAAGTGTAGAAGTAGCAGTCCAGGGCTGGTACAGAGGTCGCCTTAAGTGCTCGGGAACCAGGTCCTTCCCCTTTCTTGTTTTTCACTGGCCCTGGTATAGCATGTATCTCCATGGCCCAAGGTGGCTGCTAGCCAGCCAGCCACCACACCTAGAAGGCAGGGTTGAGGAAAGGATGAGAAGGAAAAGGGCAAAGGGCACATGCCAGCTGCAGTTGAGGGAGGTTTTCCTAAAGCTGTTGTATAACACGTACAACTTAGCAAAAAACAAGTCACTTGGCTACACCTAGCTGCCCAGGAGCTGGGAAAGTAGTCCTTACTGTGGGAGGCCATGTTTCTAATACTAAGAGAAAGAGGAAAACATATTCAGTGGTAACTAATAAGTCTCTGTGTTACTCAAAGCCGGTGGTGGAGCCAGGATTAGAACCCATGGGTTTGTCTCCAACATCTGTGCTCTTAGCCACCATGCTGTGCTGACTTGAAATTGATGCATGGCATACACAGATCCCATGTTGAAAGTGGGGATAATATGCTTGTGAGCCACTTATGTTAGAGGAAGTTGGGGTCATCTGGGGTCATACAAGTAAAAGGCTTTGTGAGGTGGGGGTCATGTTTTCACTCCCACCTCTCAGCAGGTGCAATGTCTCTAGGAGTATTTCCTATTCAGGTTTTTTTTGAGCTTCTTGACTGACATTGCTGAGTCTGTCGTGCTTCCATTGCAGGCTCGGCTCCCTGTGAAGTGGATGGCACCCGAAAGCATCTTCAACTGTGTGTATACATTTGAAAGTGATGTCTGGTCCTATGGGATTTTTCTTTGGGAGCTCTTCTCTTTAGGTAAAATGCCTTTGCCAGAGACCCCTTGATTAGACTTGGAGCATATTGTTTAAGGTTTTGTCAGTGTCCTGCTTGCTTATTATTAACACTGATTTGCAAACCATTTGTGCCTCAGGAAGCAGCCCCTACCCTGGAATGCCTGTTGATTCTAAGTTCTACAAGATGATTAAGGAGGGTTTCCGAATGCTCAGCCCAGAGCATGCACCTGCTGACATGTAAGAGTCAAGGCACTTGTGCTTCAGAGAATGTTTCCCCTTTTGTTTTCCTTTTTAAAGACAGTAACCCAGATGTTGAGGGTTTTTATTAGAACAGTTTGAAATGTCAATGTCACTTGGTTCCTTTTTACAACATCCTGGTCAAATGTCGTATCTCTATCTTATTTTCATAATCTCATCACAAAAGGTACAGAAAGTTTTGGCAGCTTTACATACATACGGTGTTTTATTTCATTCACTTGCCATTCAGTATGTCCAGTTGCAAGGCCCTGTAACTATTTTTGGAATTGATGCATGGCATACACCTGATGACAGGTAAGGGCATTGAAGAGTGATAGTAAATGGCCCTCATTTTGCAGGTATGATATAATGAAGACATGCTGGGATGCTGATCCCCTAAAAAGGCCAACATTCAAGCAGATTGTGCAGCTAATTGAAAAGCAGACTTCAGATAGCACCAATCACGTGAGTATACTCTGGCCAGGGACAGAGTCTCCCTTCTCTTGGTTCTAAGTGTTTCCTTCTCAGGCTCTGGGGTTGAGGACTAAGCTGCCTACCTCTTCCCTTCTTGGCTTAGTATGTAAATCGGGCTTTGGGTAGGAAAGTAAAGCAATGGAAACAAATTCTTCTGCTCTTCCCCCTCTTCTAAACCAAAAGATGTGAGATGAGTAGGCAAAAGAGTAGAAGGCTTTGTGCTTAAAGTGTGGAAGAGGAGTTGCCGTAAGGATTTGCCATGTTTCCTTTCCCACCCCAAATGCTGGTCATGGGGTCGGCATGCTCTTTCTTTCCCATGTCAGGCCACTCAGCTTTTAGATGGTGGGGGTGACATGAGCTACAATGAAAGCATAGAAAAGACAGCTTGTTACTGCAGTGAAGTAAGCCCGCTGCTGAGACAGGCATAGCCAGAAAATGGCAGAGAGCTGTCCTGCCCACAGGCCATGTAGAATGAGGGGTTGTTTGAAGTTGAGAGATCCCATTCCCAGTAATCTGGGGAAAGGGGAGTTCACAACTCAAATCCATTATTTCTTCTCTTGGCTTTTAAGGATCCTGTGTTAGTGATCCTTACTTTAACTCAAGATTTTTTTAAGCTGCTTTCTTTCTGGATGCTGTACTTGGAGCTCTCTCTTCTTTTCTAGGCGTATACCACCAATACTTTTGGGTTAAAGCTTGGTCTTCTGGGTGTCAAAGCATGTTTCAAATCAAACAGCGTTTTCCACCCAAATGCTTGAGTCTTTGTGGAAGAGCCTTCCACCGATATCTCAGCAAATGACATCAGCTGTTGGGTTATATATAGTTGGCTATAGAGATTTATGAACGTTTTTAACAATTTAGATAAGTACATGTTCCCAGATGTGTCCCTGCAGAAAAGCACATTCTTTTTTGCTATCACTTAGTATGTAATCAGACCTTGGTAAAAATGGTGTATAAAATAAAGCTGCTGTTTTCTTTTGTCGATACAATTTGGTTTCGGCTGTAGAGGCCTGGCAAGCCTCCTCTCTCTCCTTCAGAGTCTTCAGTAGTCATTTGCAATTCTGAGGCTGCAGACATGCCCCTTTGTCGCTGTGTTTGTTGTGGGGACTGGTATATTGACTGTGGGCTTGTTTTCCTCAGATTTATTCCAACTTAGCCAACTGCAGCCCCCACCAGGAGAACCCGGTGGCGGACCATTCTGTGCGGATCAATTCTGTCGGGAGCAGTGCTTCGTCCACCCAGCCGCTGCTCATACATGGAGATGTCTGAAGCAGAATGAGGGCGTCGGGGCCTCCCTGACAAGAACGATCCCCATTCTTTTGGTTTCTGTAATGGTTATTTCATTTTACTTCGGCTTACATCCTACTCCAGGGTGGTGGACACCTGCTGTCATGCTGTCATGCTGTCTTTATGAGCACACTTCAGTGGCTGATGACTTTTGTCATCCACCGCCATTCCATTGCAAGGGTTCAAATTGCATATATTTCTAATAGCAAGGTACCCCCATTAATGAAAAAATTTCAGACATGGAGAAAGGGAGGGTGGGGTGGTCTAGACACCCTGAGTCCTTTACAAGGCTTCTGCAGCATTTGTTTGGAAAAATTGATAGTTTATTTCAGTAAATGGCAATAATCACCCTGGGCCCGTGTAACCACCTGTAATGATATGATGATGCAGCGAGATTAGAAACTGAAACCTAATCCCTTGATGTTGGAAATAGAATGTTATTAGAACAAAAGGCAGATGTCTATGAATATCTGGGCTTACAAGATTAGTAGTATTTCATGCTGGGAATGAGACACAGGCCATGGGAAATGCTCCCAAAGCGGGAATGAAGACCTGCTGCTATGCACAAGCCTTTGTACTACTGACCCAGTTTGTAAATAGAGTTCGCTATTAGGGAGCTAAATTGGAGAGAAGGCCTCCCAGCCAGCATTTGTATATATCCATCTATAAAGTAAATATGTTCATATGTTTGAGGGGGGAAAAACCCACAGGTGTAATGTCTGGATTTAACTCTGGCTCAATTCTGCTGTGTGTGGGAATAGATTAAGAGCCAGACAAGTTTGAAGGAAACAGTTATGTTAGTGCTTTTTTTTTTTTTTTTTCAAGAAAAAAACATAATTGCCAAGCACAATCTTAACAAAAAACTCCTTTTGTAGCCAATTAACTTGCTCTGTAGATTCTGCAGAATAAGCCTACGAGCTTCAGTATGGCATTGTGCTCAATGGATTTGATGCCATTTGAAAAAGTGACTGATTTATTGCATGACTCCAGCAGGAGTGATGAAACAGTGCTGTCTTAGTTTGGATTCTTTCATAGCAGGAAATAAAATGTAGATTCCACCTTCTTTGCAGGCATGTCCTGGACGCCAGGCCAGTATCTATAAAAGTGTGTATGTGTATATGTGTGTGTATGCTTATAGACATATATTTTGGGGGCATTCTTGCCTTGAGCCTCAGAGGGTCCCTCAGTACCCACAAGGTAGCTTGGCCTCCCTCATTAGTACTCTTTTCCTCTCCACCTCACTGTCGAGAGAGGCTTACCACCAGCTCCTGGAGAGGTATGTAGGGCAGATACTTCTGTACCTATTTATTTTTAGTCCACCTGCACTAAGGCACTCTGTTATTTATGCTCAGCATACTGTACCTGTTCCTTAGACCTTATTTACTACTCTCTCACTGAAATGTATTTAAGTTTTATCTTTTTAGGCTGTAGCCTGGATATTACTCTTAGAGTTGACCTTTTTCTTTTTCATCGTATCCAACTCTAAGAGGTCCATGTGTACGTGGCAAGGTTTATGTGTTGTCTTGCAAGATTCATTTACGCTACCTTCAGGTTTTCTGTCGTAGGTCCCTTAGATTACATGTAGAAAACTGTGGCCATTTATCTGGAAGTAACGATTTGCACTGGAGTTCTGTGCTCTTGCACCTTTCCAAAGGCAACAGGTTTGGGGGTTTCCTTGTCATGTAAGACTGTCACTGTTTGCCACATACTGTCTCAAAATTCCTTTTGTGTTTCTGTTGATTTTGATTATAGTAAGAAAAGTGGTCGGTTGTTCACTATAGATGTCTAGGTACTTCAGGGGCACTTCACTGAGAGTTTTGTCTTGGATATTTTTGAAAGTTTATATTTTTATAATTTTTTTTTTTTTTTTTTTTACACATTGGATATTTCTTTGCAGTGGCTTAATGTTTGAAATTATTTTGTGGCTTTTTTTGTAAATATTGAGATGTAGCAATAATGTCTTTTGAATATTCCCAAGCCCATGAGTCCTTGAAAATATTTTTTATATATACAGTAACTTTATGTGTAAATACATAAGTGGTGCAAATTTGAAGGATGTTGGAATTCCATGTGTTTTTTTTCCTGGTATGTTGTCCAGTTGTTGACAGTTCTGAAAAATTCTAATAAAAATGTAAATATATAAATCAAATGAAATGTTCTCATTATTTCTACCTTAGTGAAATTAGACTTTAAAGTGTTAAAATGCATTCACCCTAACATTAGAAATCTTCGAACCTAGTACGCTTAAGATACAATCAATACTGTCAGAGTACTAGGATTTATATACATGAAGATTCAATAGGCATTTAATAAGAATTTAGTATGTGCTATATTTTCTCATTTTATTTTTACTACCCAAGGTCTCCATTTATATGGAAAAATAAATACTGAAAACATTTGAAGAATACCACACATTGCTGTCATTATTAGGTTGATTCATGTGACACGAACATTTTTATGGGCCAAATAGTGGTCATATAGTAGCACATTCATATGGTTCAATCTAATATAACTGGCATGTTTACTCCTAAACAAGCTTGTCTAAAAATTAACATGGACAGTAGAGCAATTCCCAAGGTTGACACAAGGAATCCCAAGCAAGGGGTTTGTGTTCTTGTTGGCTTGGATTTTGAAGACAGGTTGTTTGGTCATGAGATGTACATGCTCCACCTTCAATCCTTATTCTCACTTGCTTGGGGAACAGAGTTAAGTTCTATCATTTGCGTAGTGGGAGGAGACTGTGCCCATTAGTTCTAGTACCGTCTTGCGGCTAGAGCATCCTCTGTGATCAGGAGGCACCGTTCAGACCAGTGGCACCTGCACCAAGCCTCAGAGTTCTAGCTTGAAATGAAGAATCACCCTAAACTGAGTAATCCTATTAGAAAATGAGTTAGTTTTGATTTTCTTTTTTGATAGGACATTTATACCTGCAGAAGTACTCCTGAAAGGAAAGGGAAGGGGGTGAAAGGTGGCCTTTGATGAAGAAGAATCCTTTTAAAATCAGGAGGGAATTGTGGAGCCAGGGCCTCATCAATAGTCCTTGAAAAACGGACACACATTTCAGTCCAGTGTTTTCTGTTATTTTATTACTAACAGGAATGAAGGCCAACTGACCACAAAACAAAGAAGTCCTTTCTTTCTGAATGTTTTCATGGGCTTTCTCATGTGGGTGAAGTTTTGAGTTGAAAGCATTCAGCAGCCCCTGTATTACTAGTATGTAGCTATTTCCCTCACTGGTCCAGCAGTTTAATCACAAAGTATCAGATGCTTGGTGTTCATGCTCAAACTGGGTTCAAATCCTGGTTGCCAGCCTACTCTCTACTACTTACTGCTGTGTGGTGTTGGGTGGATTAACTCTTGAAATCTCAATTTCCATAACAGTGTCTGCCTCAATGTATTAATATGAAGCTGTCAAGATCACTTTGTTCATATGCGTAAGACAACAAGTGCTCAAAAATGCCAACTTTTATCATGGCTACTTAGGCATTTTAGAAAGGAGGAAGATGCTCGGGACCAACCTAACCCAGTTGTTACTGCCTAGAGAACCATGCAGTGAAAAAGTTGTTTCTAGTCATTGCCTTTCACTTAATTGCTAACAGTATTGTACTAGTTTGCTCTGAAACTTGACTTTGCTATAGAGATTTCTGTGTTTTATTAAAATCCCAGCTTTTTAGTCAGGAATTTAAGGCTCTGAGTGCTTGCTCCAGCCTGCCTTCCAGGCTTCTCTCACCATAGACCCATGAGTATGCTTCCTGCTTCTGCCCGTTCAGATGTCATATTGTCTCTTCTCTCCCAACAAGCTCCTACTTTCAAGACCAGGAAACTAATCTCAGTTGGAAGTTGCTCTGAATTCTGTGATTCTGAACTCATACATCTTACTGCTCTGACAGTCTGTTCCACCTTGTGTAATATTTTGGATCTTGTCTTACCTCCTTCCCACTCCCACAAATCCAGTCTTAAATCAATTAACATAAAATACCTGTATGTCTAGGTTCACTGGGTTTCACTGGTTGTCATTTATTTGTTAAAGTATTTAATTATCCAGGCAGCCAGAGGCTAAATTGCTCAAGAAATTGCAAGAGGTTAAGACTTGTCCAAGTTCACTTAGTAGGACATGGAGCCAAAATTTGAAACCAGATCTGAATGCCTGCACATCAGTGGTGCAAATACCTGGTCTTCCCCTGCTGGTATCTCTCATTCCATGTCCATAGAGACATCACTCATCACAGCGCTCTTTCCCATGGAGCCAAGATGCCATAGAAGTCTCAGCCTCCTCCAGGAAGCCCATCCAAATCAATGGGAGCTAGCCTAAGGAGGGACTTACCTGTCACCCTCAAAATGATTATTCAAGTTTCATGAAGCACAAGTGTTCTCTACCTTGGTGCTCCTGAAGTTTCTAACACATGCTTCTGAATGGTTAATACTTTTTCAATGGATTATTAAGCATTCCATCAGCATGGGTAAGGGAGAGACATCTGGGAGGAGACAGATTCAGGAATGAATGGAAATAAAACAACTCAACCAGACTAGGACCTGGGAAGGCAGCTTCATTTCACACTGGGGGGTGAGACTTTGGGGAGAAGGGAAAGGGGAACTAGGCAAGTGTTGCTGGGCAGGTTTACTGAGACCTGCACAGCTGCTTTGCGGGAACGAGAGAAGTAGAGAAAAGGAGGGCTTGGGGGATGGGGATGGGTGGGGAGGAAGGGAGAGTGGCACAAGTTCCCTTTCCTATTACAGAGGCCAGGGGGACTGAAGCTGCCAAGTACTACCTGGGCGGGAAGTATAGAAACTGGAAGACAGGCGACTCTCATCCCAGACCTGACCTTGGGAGGTCAGCTGGGCCAGTGTTTCCACAGCAAAATACCCCCCAGGAGAGGTCTTGGGACCAGCTGGACATCTTTGGGTGAATTTTAGTAAAGGGAAGTGTATTAGTCTATTAGCGCTCCCATAACATAGTACCATAATCTCGGTGGCTGAAACAGCAGAGGTGTATTTTCTCATAGTCCTGGTGGCTAGAAGTCTGAGATCAAGGTGTGGCCAGGGCCAGTTCCTTGTGAAGGCTGTGAAAATCTGTTCCAGGCCTCTCTCCGGTAGCTTCCAAATTGGTGGCAATCTTTGTCATTCCTTGGCTCGTGGATCTCTGCCTCCATGTGGCATTCTCCCTCTGTGTGTGTGTGTCTGTGTTCTGATTCCCTCTCTTTATAAGGACACTAGTCAAGTTGGATTAAGAGCCCACTCTACTCCAGTATCACCTCATCTTAACTAATTATATCTGCAATAACCTATTTCCAAATAAGGTCAGATTCTGAGGTACTAAGGGTTACCTTTATGACTTAAACACATGAATTTGGTGGGGCACAATTCAATCCACTAAAAAGGGTTCCCCAAACCTTCTGTATTGTAGGACGTGACCTGGGCCTCAGAGAACTGAAAGTGACTTTCTAAAAACCAAGAAAATGACCTTTCAAGTGCCCATCTCAGAGTACTCTTTTCAGCTATTCTGTTGTGTAGAACAGTGCCTGGCTTGGAGCCCACACTGTGCTTTTTAAATGAATGAAGCTTCATGCAATGGGAAGCTGTACTCCTCAGCCTGCCCTCGCAGCTTCTCCTCTCTGTTTCCCTCCATCACCCTAAGGGTGGGGATTGCAGAGTCTGCTGCTTTCTCTTCTCCCTGCACCTGGTGTGGTCTCACCAAGCTCTGGTCGATCTCACCTAGTCTCTGGAATGTGGCCCTCCCTTACAAACTGATAGTTTTCAACTACATCTCTGACACCTCTCCCCTCAAAGGCTGTGGTTGCCAGGTAAATTAGAGGATGCCTAGTTAAATGTTCT